TGAGCCACCACGCCCAGCCTAATTTTTGTATTTTTCATAGAGAGAGGGTTTCACCATGTTGGCCAGGTTGGCCACAAACTCCTGACGGCAGGTGATCTGCCCACCTCAGCCTCCCAAAGTGCTGGGACTACAGGCGTGAGCCACTGAGCCAGGCCCCTGTCTCTATTTAAAGTAAATAAATTAAATAATTTTTTAAAAGATTTATTTATATATTTTTTTTGTTTTGTTTTTTGTTTGAGACGGAGTCTCATTCTGTCGCTCAGGCTGGAGTACAGTGGCTCGATCTTGGCTCACCGTAAGCTCTGCCTCCCGGGTTCACGCCACTCTCCTGCCTCAGCCTCCCAAGTAGCTGGGACCACAGACGCACACCACCACGGCTGGCTAATTTTTTGTATTTTTAGTAGAGACGAGATTTCACCGTGTTAGCCAGGATGGTCTCGATCTCCTGACCTCGTGATCCACCCATCTTGGCCTCCCAAAGTGCTGGGATTACAGGCGTGAGCCACCCTGCCTGGCCTAGGATTTATTTTTTTAAAAAGGACACTAAAATCCAAGAGGCTCAGCTGTTACCTGCAGCAAGTTACTTATCTATGCCTCAATTTCATCACCCACAGTAGGGATAAAAATAGTATCTACTTCATAGGATCTTTATGAGGATTAAATTATTTAATATACATGAAGTACTTAGAACTGTGCTTGACAGTAAGTGCTAAATACTTTATTATTATTACTACTACTACAACTACTACTAAGGTATGAGAAGGCTGCCAAGGGAGCACAGAGGAAGAGGTACCTTCCCCAGGGAAGGTTGGGAAAGGCCTCACAGAGGAGAGAAGCTGGGACTGAGTTTGAGATGAACAGGACTTACTCGGCTGGGCTGGGAGGAGAAAGCATCCTAGGGCAGGGGTCGGTGTGCCTGAAGGTGGGGAAAGCATGTCAGTCAGCAGAAGGTTGATAACTGAACATCATGCTCTAGGTTCTCTAGGAGAACGTTCAGAGGATAAAGGAGGGCATTGAAGCCAGAGGGGTTCAGGGCAGACTTTGAGAAGGTAAAGTAGGTCTGGAGCTAGGATTGAAGAATGGATAGGATTTTAGAGAACCTACCTAGAGCTAAGGACCGGTGGCGGCCAGGTAGGCCTGGAGGGGTTCCCTTGATCCTCTCCTCTGGCCCTCCCAGGTCTGTGCCCTCCTGGGCTGGGCCTGTCCCTGCCTCATAGTCTACCCTTGGCTCCCCAGCTGTCTGGAGTTCTTACTGGATAACGGTGCAGACCCCTCCCTGCGGGACAGGCAGGGCTACACAGCTGTGCACTATGCAGCCGCCTATGGCAACAGACAGAACCTCGAACTGGTATGTGTTGGGGCTCGGCCTGCAGGAGGGGAGGCAGGGGCACAGGGTTTGTGGATTCCAAAACTAAGGGTGGTTCAATCAAATGTGGTCTTCAGATCCAGAGGCTTAGTGGGGATTACTGCGAGTCAGGGACTGGGGTACTTATCTTAGGAGTTCCAGAGTCTCAGCACCTACTTTCCTGTCCATTGCAGCTCTTAGAAATGTCCTTTAACTGCCTGGAGGATGTGGAGAGCACCATTCCAGTCAGCCCTTTGCACTTAGCTGTGAGTCCCATGTCTTTTTCTTTTGCCTCCCTTGTCCTGCCTGTTCCCAGGCCCTAACAAAGGTGCCAGCACTTGTGAAGTTATCCTTGCTTCTGCCTTTTTGTGGGAGAGGGGATAAACACAGTGCAGGGTAGGAAGCCTTGAGGGGCCTAAGGAGCTTGTCGAGGACTAAGACCTTGAGCTTCCCATGGACCCCAAGAGCAGAGAAGGGGAAGGGAAGAGCAGGGAAGGTCCCGAGCTGTGTGCACTGGTTGCCTGCACCCCTCCAGGCCTACAACGGTCACTGTGAAGCCTTGAAGACACTGGCAGAGACGCTGGTGAATCTGGACGTAAGGGACCACAAGGGCCGGACCGCACTCTTCCTGGCCACGGAGCGCGGCTCTACTGAGTGTGTGGAGGTGCTTACGGCCCATGGCGCCTCTGCCCTCATCAAGGAGCGCAAGCGCAAGTGGACGCCCCTGCACGCTGCTGGTTAGTGCCCACTTTAGGCTGCTGCCTTACCCTTGCCATGCCAGATCCCTCCTGGATGGGAATGGGGCTGGAAAGTGGAGTAGGGTGAGGAGAATGGAGACTTCAAGCCCTGATTCATAGCTTCCTATCCTCAGAGATTTCTCTGTGGCCCAGGTCTTCCTGTAACATTGACCCCAAGTCCTTTAGGCTTGACCTCGCCTCCCTTCTTCCTCTTGGCCCTGCCCTGACGCGGGGTCCCTTTCCCCTAGCTGCCTCTGGCCACACTGACTCCCTGCACTTGCTGATCGACAGTGGGGAACGAGCTGACATCACAGATGTCATGGATGCCTATGGACAGTGAGTGTGGGCCAGGGTGGGATGCAGGTTTTCCAGTCCTTGTGGGATCCTCACTCCTCCTCCTGCCCCTCTGTAGGACCCCACTGATGCTGGCCATCATGAATGGCCATGTGGACTGTGTACATCTGCTGCTAGAGAAAGGATCCACAGCTGATGCTGCTGACCTCCGGGGCCGCACCGCCCTCCACCGCGGGGTGAGTGAGCTTCTGGGGGGGATTGTTTGCATGTGGGCCTCAGTGTGGGAGCACGGGACTCACCAGCAGTAGGGAATCCAATTGTCTAGGAGGC